CCAAGAGGAGAATGGTGGAAAAGGGATTGCAACTTGGCCGTCCCCCACCCCCAAGGGGGTGATTTCCCTCTCTCTCTCTCTTTCTCTCTCTCTCTCTCTCTCTATCTCTGATGAGTGCACGTGCCCTATAGCAAGTAAACAAACAAACAAAAAAGCTCAAAACTATACAGTATGGGGAACCAGCAGTTGGCCTAATGGCTATGTCGCTGGGCTCCCACATAGTCGACCGCGGTTCACGTCCCGGACACGGTGGCTTAAAACTCACGCCAGGCACCTGTGCGTGCGTGCCCAAGATCCCGAGAGGAGAAGGGATTGCGGCGTGACCATCCCCCCTGGGGGGTGATTTCTTGCTTTCTGTCTCTATGTCTCTCTCTGTCTGGCGAGCGCACGCGCCCTATAGCGGAAAACCTCTCCAAAAAAAAAAAAAAAAAACAACTATACGGTATGTAATGTTAGGGGTAAAATTAAAACATTTGAAAAGGCTTTTGCTTATGAACAGTGGATATGTGTGAGTAGAGACTGAAATGAGTAAATGTTGGTAGAGGAAAGCAAAAGGGCTTTTCACGATGTATCTTCCCGTATTACTTTGATTTTTGAGTCATGAATATATTACTCATTCATAAAATTTTAAATAAGGACAAATGGTCCAGAGAGTAGGAACTGTGGGTGAAGCAGCTACATCCCACTTATCTAGACATTACCTTTCCAGGTTGCACAGTGACTCCAGGCAGCAGCCGTTTGCTGTATTTTCATACTGGGATAATTCTCAATTATTTAAATCAGATTTGTTTGAACTCTCAATTTGTTTCAGAAATCCAATTCAACTTTACTGAAATTACAAGAGACTGTATCAACTCCTGAAACTGAGATGTCCAGGAACTGGCTTAGGGTAGATAGGACACAGAATAGCACTCTTTGCTAAGGGACTGGCGATCCTGCAGGCTTCCAGGCACCTCATGGCACCCCAGCTTAAATCACCAACCAGGCTGTTGGTATCTCCTTCAGCATTTTCCAAGCGTCTACTTTGGAAGCCACTGCCACTCCCACTATGGGTCTGAGAGCCTGCTGTGCTTCACTGTAGAAGAGGAATCTGCTGAGAACAACCATGGAGACTCAGAAGCTTCTCCAGGCCTGGAGGCTGTGGTTGCTCTCTTATGCAAGAGACACGATGCAGATGCATGACATTCTGGACTGGAGAATGCGGGGCATTCAGAGCCAGACCAAGAAATGCGTGTGGGGAGACGGCTGGGCTTCCTCGCTCGCCAGAATCAGGGAGTGGGAGAGAATGGGATACCACTTATCTCCCTCCCACTCCCCTTTCCTCATTCCAGGCCCAAACACCAGACCAATATGTCTCCAACTGAGTAAAAAATGGGAACATGGGACAATGCCACATGTAAGGGAAGTTAGGAAACCCAAACACAGCACAACACTGGTGTACTTAATTTGGTTTATGAAATGCAATTTCTGTGGAATCCTGTTAGTGAAAAAAAAAAAAAATCCCACTTGATTTGGAATCAGGAAAACAAGAGTCCCAGACAGAATCTCTTGCCATCTGGCTGTGGAACTGCTTGCAGTTCACTGAACTTCTCTTTGCTTTAGTTTCCTCATCTGAAAATTGTGATAATTAACTGACCAACCTCATAGAGATCAAATAAGAATACAAGACCTCTGAAAAATATAAACATAACTTTAAGTTAATGGAAGGCATCGGTATACCTAAATGGCATACATCTACTTTTCTTGTTTTAGCCTGAAAAGCTCGTTAGCAAGTACAATTAGGTTTACTCTGAAGCAAGTGAGGTTGCTTTTTTAGGTTGAGGGTGGAGTACTTTTAAACCCATAGTGGAATTTGTTGCTTTTCATCTGTTCAGCATCCATTTCTAACCCACCCATCCAAAGAACAACTTCTACCCATCATCAGTTCAGGAAGTCAGGGTGGGGGGTGATATAGGCCCCTTCCTTCTTTTATTTATTTATTTATTTATTTATTTATTTATTTATTCATTTATTTGGTTTTTGTCATAGGGCACATGCATTCACTGGAGAGAGACAGAGAGAGACAGTGAGAAAGAAAGTGAGAAATCAACCCCATCAACCCCTCACCTGGGGTGCAATCCCTTCTCCTCTATTCTCCTCCTAGTATTTTGGGCATGCATGTACACATGCCCAGCACAAGTTTCAAAGACGCCAGGTTGGGGACTTGAACTGTGAGAGTCCCGTGCTTTAACCACTATGCCATGTGCTGGCCCTGACTTCTCCCTTCTTGAGAAGTAGACATGTGACTTGAGTCTGACCAATCAGTGTTTTCCTGCTGCTACAGGATAGACATGTGACACAAGCCAATCAGAGACCATGAGTTTTAATTTGTGGGCTTTCCTTGAAACTATTGAGAAGTCCTCTTTCCACTGACCAGGGTGTAGGCTTGGGGATTCTAGAAGCCCTCTCACTTTTATTATGGGAAAGTAATGCCAACAGAGAGGAAAGCAGAACTGAGAGTAGGAGAGAGTAGGCGGAGTCCTAGTGGCACTTTTGGACCTAGCCATTCCTAAAGCTGTCTCCACTCTTGGACACTCGGACGCTTGAAGAAATATAGATGTCCTGTTTTTCCTTGTTGGATTTCTGATGCCTTCAACTCTAACAGTCAACTGACAAAAACTTCTGGTGCTGTCGTTTAAGAATATTGAGGACTTTGTAGTGCAGCTGTTAAGCCTTGTATATTAGGAACGAGATCCCACATGGTCAAAAGTGGTTTGAATCCCAGCCCCCACAGCTTGAAAAACACACCAGGAGCATGTGTGTGCCCAAAATCCTGACAGGAAGGAGAAATGGAAGAAAAAGTATTGCAGTGTGACCACACCCCACTGGGGGGTTCCTCTCTCTCTCCCTCTCACATGTATGCATGTGCACAGTCCTCTGACAATTGAAAAAGTATAAAAAGGAATCTCTACAAAAGATGAACGAATCATGCCCACACTCAAAGCTACATGAATTAAGAAAATGTAAGCAAGCCAGCATGTGGTGTGGATGTTGGGGCGGCTGGATCGCACATGGCCAACTCCGAGGTTTGGGTCCCAGCCCCGCAGCTTGAAGGGACATGCTGTGTGTGTGTGTGTGTGTGTGTGTGTGTGTGTGTGTTACAACTGGGTGCACATGCATGTGTGACCAAAATTCCAAGAGGAGAGCAGAGAAGGGATTGTGGTGTGGCTGCCCCCCCGGGGGTAGGGTGATTTCTTGTTTTCCCACTTTCTCTGTCTCTCTCCAGCAAGTGCACACTCTCTATGGCAATAAATAAATAAATAAATAAATAAAATAAGGTTTAAACAATACCATCATAAAGTTCAAGTGGATCTGGAATCCTCTCCCAGATAAAGACACTTCACAGTAGTATCTAGGTAACATTTTGTAATTTAACAGAGAGACACAAATTACTAAAATAAAGAAATATTTTATTTTTCTCTTTCAGCCATGAGGTCCAAGGAAATGCAAGTTCATGGAAATTAGAAATAATATCAAAACGCAGGTGAGACCAGCTTTAGAGGTTGCATGGAATCAGCAGACCATGATTGTCTGGAGTGATTTTTGGCCTCCTCGGTTTGCCATTTGGTCTAGCCCACGTAACCATTTCTGTGGAAACTGTCCAATTTGAAGAGAGTTGTCCTAGACTGGTGAAGCCCAAACAACTGAAATGTTTACAGTACACAAAGCAAAACAGTCAACATTACTGGGTAATACAGACTTTGGTTTATCATTAAACTAATTAGAAAGCCAGAACAAATCTCATTATGCAGCACCAGGACACTTCTATTCATTTCTTCAGTCATTCATTTGTGCATTCAGTGAGTATCTATTAAGCACCTATGGTGTACCAGAAGGCACTTGTTAAATGCTGGAGTTACTAAGATAAAGACCAAGGCACATACTCTGTCCTCAGGAGCTCTCACGGTAATTGTGCAGAGACATGGAAATGGGGACTGATAATGCTTCATGAAGAGTGCTGATGACAAAAAGTCTGTGAAAGCCAGACATCACCGTGAATTCATTCTACCAGAGGCTCCATGGAAAAGGTGTGCA